TTAACTAGTTGTAACTTGTAATAGTTAATTAGAAAATTATGACAAAGTTGTAGCAGCTAATCAGAGAATTATAACAAAGTTATAACTAGCTGCAACTTCTATTACTATTCATAATCTTATGAGAGAGTAAAGTTTATCAAGAAACTTTGTAGATAAGAAATTTATTTAGAAAAATAAAGTTAAATTACAAAAGACTATATTAATAACAGTTAAACTTGCTGATGACAAGAAAATTACTATTACTATTATAATAAAAATTGATGAATTAAAGTTAGATATCTATGGAATATACAAGATGAATATACAGATATTAAAATTATAAAGATATAGTCTTATTTTAGATAAATCTTGATTGTTTTATACCAATCTAATCATAGATTGAAGAAATAATATCATCACATCTAAGAATATCATCTGAAATCTTAGAGTTTCAGCTTTAGCCATAGACAAAACTAGTAAATACTATTTTGCCAAACTGAGAGTCTCATGCTGAATTACCAAAATCTTCATATTTTGCTGAAATCTCTATATCCTGCTGAAACCTTTATATCCCACCAAAGTCTCCATATTTTTCCAAAATTTCTGAAACTTCTAAAGGTTTTAGCAATAAAATTACAAAAATTAATAAGATTTCAGCACAGTTTATAAATGTCAAATTATTACATGACAAATTATTGATATATTTTTTTCTGCTTAGTAAACTGATCATAATATGAATGTGTTACACATATTCTTTTATATATAATATGATTATTATTTATTTGCTCAGATAAGATTTTTGCCATAATTTTTATCCCTGAGCAAGGACAAGAAAAAATTTTTATGAGAAAATGAACATAGAAGCTACTAGGTAAGATAGTATAGCATTTATTTTTATTAAAAGCATTTATTCATTTACTTAATCAGTTCATTTTCAGACTAGTATCAGCTTCATCATAAAAATTTCCGGATAGTTCACTATTCAATTTTTTGTTTTTATTTTTTTTTAGAAATTGAGACAGAAAGAGAATGAAGAGGATTAGTACATGTAAGTTTGCAAAGCTGATCAAATATTTACATACCAGAGATAAGATTATTAACACATGAATCTGCAAAGTAAATTAAACATCAAATAAAAATTTATTCATTCCATTTGTATCTCTGTCAATTTTTTACCTTTGTGTTATAAAATGAGATAAGATTAGTACATACAACTAACCAAATGTCAAATAAAAATTTATAGATCCATCCCAGTTTGTATCTCCATCAATTTTTATCTTTATGTTAAAATAAGATAAGATTAGTATATAGAACTGATCAAATGTCAAATGAAAATTTACTCACCTGTCTCAGTTTGTATTTCTATCAATTTTTACCTTTGTGTTATGAAACAAGATAAGATTAGTATATGAAACTGATCAAATATTAAATAAAAATTTACTTACCCATCCAGTTTGTATCTCCATTAATTTTTATCTTTAGTCATGAAAATAAAATAAGATTAGAACATGAAACTGATCAAATATCAAATGAAAATCTACATATCCATTTCAGTTTGTATCTCTATCACTTTTTTACCTTTATGTCATGAAAATGAGATAAGATTAGTACATGGGTATCTGTAAAGCTGATCAAATATTAAATGAATATTTATATATTCAGATTTTATATCTTTATTAATTTTTTACCTTTGTTTCATGAAAATATATTATGGATAATAATTCTATTCTTAATGAAATAGAATTAATAGTAGCTACTGTTGAAGAGAGAGAAAATATAAAAAATATAGGAGGGCATCCAAGAAATAAAGTATGGAAGCAGTTTCATGCCAGTCCTAAATGACAAGATGGTCATTTTCTGACTACTTGTAAGTAATATAATTCAAAATGAATATAAGATGATTGAGTTCCTATAGAAAGTCATTTGATCAATTATTATATCAAGATATCAGCCTCTGTTGTTTGTGAGTATCTTCAAAAACTTGATAGTGAAGATTCTGAAATAGCTAAAAAGAAATGTAAGATGATCAGTCAACACTTAATTGAAGACTTTTATAATCTGATTAAAGAGCTTTCAAAAGGGCATATTTTATAAATCAATCATGTACTTGTCAAAGCTTTTATATATACTGAATTATCATTTCAAGCTATTGAAAATCCATTTTTTGTGAACTTTCTCAAAGAGTTAAATTTGGTATATCACTCATCCTCCTGAGATCTTTTGTCAAATTAACTAATTGAAGAAGAACTTTCTAGAATTAATTATAAAGTCAAAAAGGAATTAAACAATTCTGTAAATCTTACACTTGATAAGAAGTTATATTTATAATTATTATTATCTGTTTAATAATATATTTTTATTTGTATTATAGCTTTTGATGGATGGACTAGCAGAACTCATCAGTCATTTTGAAATTTTATTCTTCTTATGCTGAATAAAAAAGAATACTTGTATCAATTATTTGATTTGTCAAGTAAATCTCACACTGCCAAATATCTGATAAAAAAAATAAATGAAATAATTATCTCAGTTGGATCTAATAAGTTTGCCACCATTATAAGTGATAACATGTCTAATATGAGAAAAGCCCAAGAAGAAATTAATTACCAGTATCCTAACATTCAAAATATAAGATGTATTACCTACTATATCAATCTTATTGCATGTAATATTATTGCATATAAATTTGCCAACAAATTACTTCACTGTATAAATATTCTTGTAACATTCTTTTGTAATAATAGCAGAATAGGTAAGAATATTTACATTTTAAATTTTTTCATATTACTTACTAATTCATCTTTTTATATTGTAGGTTCTAAAATTCAAGAAATGATCAAAGCTTCAGATATTAGTGATGGAGGCTTAAAGTTATATTGTAAAACAAGATAAACAATATCAAGTAAAAGTATTAATTCTGTAATTAGGCTAAAGCCTATCTTCCAAGATGTAAGTAATATAAATATAATAATTTTCAAATTCTAAACTAACTATTTTTCCCTATTTAGCTTGCCATCAATCATTTTTCTTATCTTACCAATGATCAAATAAAACTAATTATTGAAGGCCAAAACATTTTTCTTGATTTGGAAATATTAATATTTGTTTTAAATTCTATACGTAAGACTGTATTAGCTTTGAAAGTCCAGTCAGCTTCATTAGCTAATTATTTTTTGGGACTTGTTCATCTGAGTGCTATAATAAAAAAAATATCTTATCATATCAATATCTCTTTTTATAACTACTGTATAATAAAAATGAATTCTCATTTTAATGAATTTAATAATGATAAGTATATACTTAGTTTTTTTCTATATTTACTATATTGAGATATGTATTTTAATTATATAATGATGTTTATTAGTAAATTTACTAATCTAACTTCTTATTATAGCTGAGCCATTTAAATTTGGCATATATAATTGAATTGTTAAAGTGGTCATAGATATTGGATACTCATTTGAATGGGATCTTAAAGTTACTAGGGTTTTATATTCTCAATTTCAACAATATAAGAGCTATAAACCTCTCTTTGATCTACCATTTGCTTCATCTCATGATGACCTCTTCAATTATGGAATTATATCGAACTTGAGGAAAATCATATTCAACAACTCATAATATATTTATTTTCTATTTGTCCAAATTTGACAAGTTGTAAAAGAGAGTTTTCTACTTTAGAATGGCTTACTAACAAATACTGCCTTTATTTTAGTATGAAAAAATTAGAAACTATAATAAAGTTAATATTTTTTTATCAGTCTAATGCTTACAAAGAATTAGTTTTTTATGGAAAACTCAACAAAAAATTATCAGATTACCAAATCTTGGCTGCAATATGAAATGCAATAACTAAAGCATATGAGAAGGAGGAGGAGGATGTGGATGAACTTTCAAGAACTTTAAGTAGTGATATTATTAAGAATATTATAGTGATAATCGAATTCTTAACTATTGAACAAATAATTAACCTTAATAATCATCTTATTATTAATAGTTTAGGAAGAATTCCAGAAGAAGATATAGATATTTTAGATGATGATCAAACTTCTACAGTTACTAATAATAGTAATAATGAAACTATAGTAGGAAGAGAAGTTTTAAATTTTAGTAATGATGATTTATTAGAAGAATTTGGTAAATAAATCATAAATTTTAGTTTTGCAATGCTTAAATTTTTGTTATGTCAAAAGAGTTTTGGCATGCTAAAAGAGTTTTGGCTATGTCACAAGAGTTTTGGCTATGCCAAAAGGGTTTTGGCTATGCCAAAGAATTTTGACTATGCCAAAAAGATTTTGACTATGCCAAAAGAGTTTTGGCTATGCCAAAAGAGTTTTGGCTATGCCAAAAGAGTTTTGGCTATGCCAAAAGAGTTTTGACTATGCCAAAGGGTTTTGGATATATCAAAAAATTTTGACAATAGTAAATATTATTTATATGTGAAGATTTTGGTTTTGGTTTTTGCCAAATATGTTTTGAAGAGCATTTTTAATCACATCATCTTTATCTATGGGTCAAAAATAATAAAAATACAAGCTAATAATGAAGTAAAATTAGATTCAAGTTTTAATTCAATTTATATTTCAAGATAATAAATTATAAATCTGTTAGCAAATATAGAACTCTTCATCATACATCTTAATAATACTGAAGACAAAGAAGAAGTAAAAAAAAAATAACTTTCACCAGAAGTATTAGATATCAAAAAAAGATATAAAAATATATTTCCAGAATTTTATTAAATCAACTATTATTCAAGAAAGTAATTGATTATAAAATTGATCTCATTTCAAAATCTGAATATTTACTTATAGACTTTCTTTCACAGAGATGAATGAGCTCAAGAAACAATTAGTTGATTTAATATAAAAAGATTTCATTTATTTAAGTATTTTATCATTTGGAGTACCAATTCTTTTTGTATATAAAAAAGAAGATATATTAAGACTATATGTTAATTATAGAGCTTTAAATAAAATTACTATTAAGAATCATTATCCACTATCTAGAGTTGATGAGTTGATGAACAGACTTACAAGATTAAAATATTTCTCAAAGCTAAATTTATATTTAGAATATTATTAAATTCACATTGCAAAAGAAGATATTTATAAGATAGCATTTAGAACTCGTTATGAATATTATGAGTTCTTGATCTTATCTTTTGGATTTACTAATACTTTAGCAATTTTTATGATATTAATAAATAATATACATAGTGGCTCTCGATAAGATGATGTCATTGGGCCAGACCAAAAGATTCATATTATCAAAAGTTCATTATATCAAGTGATCTTATTATAATGAAGATCATATTTAAATCATGTGAAATATCATTATATCAAGTGAAAATTCTTTATTATATACAGCAGTACAGTATGGCAATTATTCAAATAAATTCTATCTTAGAAAAGAATCTAAGGTACCTTGTTGCTTCGCATTAATTAAATGTAAGAGTATTTTTTTCTTTATATTTAATAATATTTTAAATTCTTCATGTGTGATAACAAACTCTTGGTTCTGCTATTTAATATAATTAGTAATTACATCTACTTCATGAACCGCTTCATCACTTTTGATAATAGAAAACTGTTCTTCAGGCTCTTTGAGTTCTTCAGGTTCATCAGGTTTGTCAGGATGCTTTACCATTTTGATTATCTCTTTATCAATTAGTATTCTTTGATGATTGAGCTCATTATCAATTTGGATAAATTGATTAGCTATTAAAGGATTTGAAATAGGTAATTGATTAATTAAATATTAAATATTAGCGTCATTATTAGCAACTTCCTCCTCTTCATTAAAATTAAAGAATGCATTCATTTTATTATCAATATCTATATTGGATTGTGACAGTATCCGAGTTTTTTTCTAACTGTTCTGAATTGTGTTAATATTAACATTATCCTATACGCTTGCAACTAATGTGATTGCTTCTGCAATAGTAAGTTTGAAAATTTTTGTTCTCATATTTAATGCAAGATCATATGCATCAATATGGTTTTCACAGAGAAGATAACGATAGTTGGTCTTTAAATTGATATTACGTTAAATAATAATCTTTCAACTTAATTAAAAATATTAATTTATACTAACTTTAAAACTGTAAATAATCCCCGCATCTATAGGTTGCAAATGAGAAGTAGTATTTGGTGGCAAAAAATGGACTTTGACATTACTCAGTAAATTAATATTATTAATAGAATGACATGATGCATTATCAGTTAAAAGAAGAATATGACATCCACTTTGCTGCATCATATTGTTAAGATTTTTGAGATAAATCTCAAATATTGACCATTGCATCCAGGCATTTTTATTCCAAAAATAGTAAACAGGCAGTGACATTTTATCAATATGTTTCAGTGAGCGTGGAGTTTGCTATTTATTAATAATTAATGGCTTTAATTTATAATTTTTAGTAACATTAATGATTAATAAGATTGTAATACGTTGCTTTGACTTTTTGATTCCAGAAGATGGACCAGTCACAATAGATTTTGATGGCAAAAGTTGCCAATACAATATGGTCTTATCACAATTGTAAATGTCTTCTAACTGGTAATTCTCAGTAATTCTTCTAAGTTTGTCACAGAATTGAGGAAGATTGTTAATTGGTGCGCTAGCAGCTTTACCTCTTTATTTGTACGCTTGAAGATTATAATGCTTTTTAAAGTTCGAAAGCCAGCTATTCGATGCATTAAAATTATCAATATTTGCCAGAGTTGCAAAAGTTTTCACTTTTTTTGCAAAATATGACCAGATATGACTTGGGAAACTTGATTTGTGTGTTCTAATCATATATAAAGAGCTTCTTCAATCACAGGATATGTGATAATTCATTCACATTTCCTCTTCGCTAAAGAAAAACTTTTATCTAGATTCAGCCAGTATGATGAATTTTTGAGAATGATAGAGACAGTATTTTCTTTAATTCCATACAGTTTAGCAAGCATTACATGAGTCAAATTAGAATGAGCTTTCTTTTTTAAACACAAATCTCTTTTTTGAATGCCTGTTAGAGAAACTCACTTTATTGTAGATTTTTTGCTAACCATACTTTTATTATTCATGTCTTAATTATTATGAGAATAAGTTAAAGATCACCAAAATATCGAAATCTTGATTAATTTGATTTAAATTAATTAGTTTAATTTAATATAATTTCTTGCTCGATAAAATGATTACTAATTATGGTGATGATTTACAAACTTCATTATATCAAGATCATTTTACTTATATAATCACATAATAATATCATTATAATGTTATATCATGAGATTATAAGTAATCTTCATTATATTGAGCCTAATTTTATTATAACTGAGTTGGGCCTGGGAAAAAGTATCATATTAGCCAATATCATATTCTCGAGAGATCATTATATTGAGAGTTACTGTGTAGTTTCAAAAGATTGTTTAGACACACTATTTATATTTGATATTAAAATATTTGAATTGTATTATATTTTAATCTCATATCTTTAATAAAGTTATGTATAGTAACATATCCAGAGATACCAATATTAATAATTAAATTAATAATATTCTTTTCAACTTTTACTTCACATCAAGCAGATATGATTTTGAGTTTTTGCCCAAGTAATACTCTTCTTTTTCTTTTTGATTTTAAGACTGTAACTTAATACATTCCTTTTGATAGTTGAGTTTTTTGTGAAAATGAGATTTGAATAAGCTGAGCAATAGTTATATTTGCTTTCTGTTAGGTCAAATCTTCTAGAATATTATATGGTTTAGTCATGATAATGAGTACAAGTAAAGTAATTTTGCTTTTCTTTTTATGAATAATCTTTTTAATGAGTTCTTCTTCAAGGGTTTTTAATGATCTAGCATTATTCATATTCTGATCAAGAATAACTTCAGAAATATCTTTCTGTTTTTCATCTTCATTATCATTAGATTCCTCATTTTTAGCAACTGCTTCTTTATGAGGTTAACCTATAGATCTAGTTTTATAAGAAGTAATTCTGAAATTTTTGGATTTTCTTTTAGCAATCAAGTATTCATGTATATCAAATAGTGAATTTATATTATCTGATTTGGTAGTTAATATTTGAATACTATCAATAAGAGCTTATATTTGGGCTAATAATACATTTTGATTATTATTTGCATTTTGATTATTATCAGTATTTGTCTAATTTGATAACATATTATTTTGTTGCTAATTATTTCTATTAGTTCTCTGATAATTATTTTCAAAGTTGTTCTGGTTATTCTGATATGATTATAACTGAGGATAGTTAGGATGAATATAATCTGATTTATCATAATTATAACATATAGAAATAGGTTTGAAATTTTGATTATTAGTTCTATAATCCAAATTATTTCTATTGTAATTTGATTCTTTGCTGGTTTCAATACTTTTTATTTGCTAATTAAGATCTTGAAATACTATCAAAATAGTATTTAGTATTAAGTTATTCTGGGCTTGAGATTAATAATATTCACAAGTTAGTATATTTGCATTAGCTTTCTCTATATTCTTTACAACTTATACCATATTTAGAAAAGTTCTATCAGCTGAGATCTGAACTTATTTTCTGATTTCAGATTTGAATTCTCTTTTGTAAGTATAAATCTTATATTCTTTCAGATATTTATTTTTAGGATCTACTTTATAAAGTAGATTAATAAATTTATCTGTGTATTATTTTATAATACCAGTTTGTTATAAAATTTCAATTTTATCTTATCATTGATCAATTCTTTCTTAAGTATAAAAGTATACAGAAAATTGATAACTAAAACTATATGGTTGATTATTATTATCATTTCAGATTGTCAGTTGGATGATATTATCTCTTTCTCTTTTATTATATTATAAGACAGCAGCATCTTCTAGATATTTTCTAACTAACTGTACTTTTCTGATATTTGTAATATCATTAGCTTGGATAATAATATTAAAGTCTTTGAGTTACTCTGTTGAATCTTGATTAATTTCTTAGTATTTTCTAATTGAAATAATAATTTTTTCTATAAGTTAGATATTCTGATCAGTCATTTAATTAATGAGAGCTTCAAGAGCTGCAATAAGATTATCCAAGTTATTATTATTATTTTATTATGTCATTTGATTATCTTCTTCTGATTGATTATTACTTTCTGAGTTAGTATGATTATCTTCTTCTAAACTAGAATAGTTATTATTTTCTTCTAATTCTGGGATTAATGTAAATTATACTAGAGAAATAGAGATATCTTCTGAGTTTTTGATTTTAGAGTAGTATCCATCAATATCACTATTAATAGATAGAGTTTTTGGATGAAAGATAAAATCTTAATGGATGAATCATTGGTAAAATTATTTAATTAAATCTAATTATTCTTTTTAAGTATTAATATAGTTAAAG